TAAAGTCATATCTCGCCATTTTCTCCCATACTAAACCTTCTAAACTTAGATTTTTCTTCAGATCTGTGATTCTACGTTCGATCTAAAGGATTACAAGTAAGTTTTTCTAAGTTTGAAGTTAGATTTACCGTTCGTTTCTCTTCTTCTTCTTCTTCTTATAGATGTTCATGATGTTCTTAGGAAAACCTTCGTTCTAGAGTTAAACCTTCGGTTAAATCCTTGTAAAAGCTCTGTTTTGAGGTAAGGGGGGCTCTACTTTATCATTTCGTTATGTTTATTACTTGTATTCTCATAGATCTTGTCATGTATGTAATTATATGTGAAATAATCCCTGTTTTATGAGAAATAATCGGTGAAAAGTGAGAATAATTAGTTGTTTATGTGATTTTATGATGAGTATATGGTGAAATTGGGATATTATGTTCAAATAGGGCATGATAAGGTATATTGAGGATGGTTGATATGATTTTATGATTTTGTGATATAAAATATACGAAGAGATGGATGTTTCATGTTTGAATATATTGTGTTTTATGTAAAAATGATGTGTATTGTGAATGTGCCATGGTTTGATGTATATGATGAAAAGTATGTGGAAATATAATGAAAAATATGTGTAAACATGATAAATGGCATATGTGAACATGTGAATATGCTCAAAAGAGTATGAGATGGAAAAAGATATGATGTAAATAGTTACAGAGATACACTGGGGAAGTGGAAGATGGAGACGATATGGGATATCTTGGGGAAATGCAGGGTGGTGAGTGACATTCGGGATTGTGCATGGAATATTGTGTTCGAATGCACCACATGGCCACACACTCATTTCTCGACTTGACTCCTGACCATTACCTTTGCTAAGGGGCCGTCTATTGCATGCGTTGTATCCGTATTGCATTGGGCCATCCGGCGACTATTTACATGAATGTGTAAGACCTCGAGATAGAGGCATCAGATAACTGTGGCCACAGGGCGCGGTAAGCGCGGATAAAAGTAAAAGAAATTGTGAATCTGTGTAATGTAATGCGCATTGAGATGAGAATATGCTTTATATAACCTTGTGATATGTAATGCCATGATGTTTTCGTTAATCGTGATAAGATGTGTTTTGTGAAGAATGTATATGTTATGTATGAGTGGTAGGGTAGAGACTCACCCTTACACAACATTTTTCAGGAAACCAGGACGAATAGTACCAGGCTCACAGTGCATGGATGGATGAGAACTGCTATAGGACTTAGTTATTTTGAGTTATGTAATGAATATTTTCAGTTCTATAGCGTTCTTTTGAAAATGTTGTAAAACTACTATTCCTCTTTATTGCTGATGAAAACTTTAGAATCTTTGTTTTCCTAAAGTACTTATGAATTAATAAAATTTTACTCTATGAACCTTATATCATTTCAATGTCTTTTCCTTATTAGAAAGTTTTGAAGGAAAATTTACTTTACCATATTAATTTTTATGAAAATTTATCATGTATTGAGAAAAGAAATATAAGGTGTTACACAAAGTTTTCTATTTAAAAAAAATCAAAATAAAATAATACAAAATAAAAATACAGTAATAAAAATGAGGATGTTACACTAGACATTTTGCATGAACATTTTTACTGGCTACATATGAAGCATTATGTACATAAGTTGTGTGAGAGGTGTCTAGTATGTAAGAAAGATAAATCTAGAGTCATGCCACATGGTTTGTATATTGCTTTGCCTATTCCTAATTAGGAGTGTTTACAATAAAAGGACAAAGTACTAATGTTACTGTCCACAATAGGACTTGAACCCATGCACTTAAAGTTAAATATGTCCACTTAACCACTAAAACATATATAACATGCTTATGCTAAAAGGATTAGCTTTTGTTTTTAATTTGTCAAGTCCAACTGGACAAACTCCAAAACTGAATTATACAGAAACATTTGAAAATCATTTGAGGAATACATTATATTATTAGTGATCTTGTTAAGGATACAATAGTCTTTAATTATCTCTTCTTTTGTCCTACTGCGTGGTGTCCTCACCGATAATTTTTATTCTTCTTTATATAACGTGGGAAGGATACCTGCAAAAGGCACTCTGATAGTAAAGTCAGATGTCAGTTTAGGCAATAAATGTTATTTACCATTCAAAAGTCAACCCTTTGACCTGTACCTCTTCTTTCCTTTATAGGCAATATATTAGGCTAATGGACTTTCTGACTGAGCCCTGATTTTAGCCTTTTGATTAAATACATAACTAATAACTTAAATCTTTTTAATCATCTTTATTAAATTCTTATCTTGACTGGAGAGATGTTCGTCTTTTGTGCCAACGAGGTACTCAAATTCCTTTTTCTATTATTATGACCGAGTGGTGTCTTATTCAGTACAATTAGAATCAAATTATTGTGAGTATTTTCTCTAATAGGGTTCTTCCTTGCAACTATTGATCTTATCAAGAATTCACCTATTCTTGTGACTATTTCTTTGACTTATTAAACATCCTTGTTTGTGGCACCATTCTTATCATATTTCCTTCCTTTTCAACTATTCTCAAGGTAATAATTTTATTTTCCTCAATTTTGAGTTTTAGGATTCATAACCTTTTCTTCTAAATAAAATACAGCTTGTGTCCAAAATATCTTTTACTCGTATCTCATGATCTACAACTCATTTTTTCAGTGATTTATGAGTCAAAATTGTGATTCACAACTTGAATTTTTCTCTCATTTTTGAAACACTTCATTTTGAGTTTTGTAGCACGAGATACATCCTAATTCTAGTTGAGTCCAATATTCAAGAGGCTTAGAGTAATCCTTACTACAAGGACAGCAAAATTTGAAGTTGATTAGAGGTAAGACATGCATGACCTTCTATTGGTTAGAAGGGTGGCGATGAGTGGTGCAAGATGAAGGGTGATGAACACATGGCCAATCAAAATCTTAATTAAGTCTAAGGTGTCAGTGACGTGTCATATTGCTCCAAGAAAACAAAATGAATTTTGGTCCAGCGTATCGCATTTCACGCACTACAGAGAACATAGGTTTTGAATCAATTGGCCCTTGCCTTTTTTCAGTGACGTTCCAAAAATTTGTGGGCGCTAGGCTGCATGGTAAGAGACAAATTCTTGGGCGAGTAATTAAAAAGGGGAGGGTGCAAGTCCAGCAAGGGAAAACACATAGGAATGTTTCTAAATCTTTATCTATTTTAGGAGTAAAATGAAAGGGTGCAGAAACTGTGGTATATGAGTCTCAATGATCAAAGTCATTACTTAATTGCTATTAAAAGTCTAATGCTGTGCCTATAGTCCAATCCACACTCATCAACAATCAAAGTGAGATAACAATCAAGTCAATCACAAACAATAAGATACATAAGTAAAGAAGAGAAAATTGAAGAGAAAAATGCAAAAAGAAAATAAATTTTTATAAAATTCCAAAAATCTTCCTATAGGACAGGAAATTTATAAGCACAAGTTTAAGGATGTTACAGTGTGTTTCTAAGATAGGTGTTAGGACATATTTAAAAATTTATTTTGTGAGAAATTGGTGTATAACTTCTCTTTAAAGTGATTTTATAGAACAATTATACACAGAATCGTTTTACAAGTAAATATTAGAGAAATATTATATTACATTGTTTTTTAATATTACTTTAAAGAACAGTTATGTGTAGAACTAGTGAATGTACATATTAATATACTAAAATACTTTATTGAAAACATAATATTTATGAAGTTATAATATCATAATTATATGTAAAACTTTAAAAGCACATATGATAAAAATAAATAAAAAATTCCACGTGCTCCAATAATTTTATGCAAATTCAATGTGTACAGTACAATGTATGTTTAAAAATGACTTTTGAACTATATTGGGGGATAATTTTTAGCTTTCTTTTCACTTTTTAGTATATTTTTGAAAAATATGTATAAAAATATAAATAAGAAATACAAATAACTGTGTAAGACGACTCTTTCACCTTTATTTTCCACATCTTTCTCTTTAATGTTGGTTCTGAATTATTTTTTAATTCTCCTTTCTCTGATGTCTTTGTCATCTTTCAATGGGGCAAAATAAGAGAGAGATTGATGTTGAAGGAAGAGGTCATCCTTTGGTTGGTCATTTTCTTTTCTTTTTCTTCTCATCTAATCATTTTCAGAATACATAAAATTTAAAGAATCAGTCTTAATCGTTAATCATTGGTTTTCCTCCGGTTTTATTAGTTTGTGGTCAATTAAGCCAATATTTTACTGGTTCCAGTTTTATGATTTATCCAGATTGATTGATCACCTACCTGGTGGAACTGATTGGATTGATTAGTCAAGGTTTTTTTTTTTTTCCTTTTTAATAATGGCTATTAATATATTTTTTATGCAATAGTTTAGGACTTTAAAATTCTTGTGTACAAAAATATGTTCCATGTCTTGTAATTTAAGGTTTTAAATTCTCTAAGCAACAAAATAAAATATGAAGTTTCTTCAATTCCTAATGCAATATCCCCAATTTTTTTTCATTTATGAGTTTTTTTTAAAATTGAACTTAAAACCTGTATCAGACTAAGTATTACCAAGATGTAGAGAAGATGTTTCAATTGTTGAATACATGTATTGATGATAACTCAGTCAAGTTAGGGATGCAGTCTTGTTTAGTTCGAATTAAGACTAGAAAATGCAATTGTTAATTTATGTAACTAAACTATTACAACGCTATTTAGTCAAGTTCTAGCCGATAAATAATTTGTCGTAGTTCTAACATCGTATGCTAATAATAATTTGTTGTACAAACCTTTATACAATAGAAGTCTAGTATTTTTCTCCCGTGGCACACACCTCTTTGTGGACTCTCGAATTGTTTTCTTTTGTTGGCATGAAGAAAACAAAACGGGTGATAAAAGCTACATCAATAGTTATTAAGACTAACCTAAAATATGCATCTCTATCGATCTCTATGTATCATTATGTGTGTTCAAGGTGAAAAAAACAATTTTATTATTTTAAAACCAAGGATTAGCTAGCTGGAAGTTAAAGATTTTGTGGCATTTTGCCCATACATAACACAAACTTAAGTACTAGTTATTGTAACTTCAATCCAAAATAAAGTCTAAGCTTTTATAACACCAACGTATGGTTGCACCGCAGACCCTATCCACAATCTTTCTCCATATTCTAACACTTCACTAACAGAGTTAAGTTGTTGTCCATATTTTCCGTCTAATACCTCAATGGCATTTCCCTCTTCATCAAATTTAACTGCGACAGGATCTGCAGACCACTGATGTGTGCTTCCAATTTTATTTTCCAAGCTCTGAATCTTTCCCCTGCCACTGTTCAGTGCTACCCAAAACTCTCCTTTAGCATTCCTCTTGATGTTATCTGGGGAACGTGGAAGCTGTGCAAAATTTTCTATGGCGTGGATCTCTGAACTTCTAAGATGAATCTTGAGAATTTTCAAAGTGGTTGATTCTGCTAGTAGAAGGAAGGAATTGTCCTTGCTAAGGGCTACACCGTTAGGGAATGCTAAACCTTTGAGCAATACATGTACATTTTTGGTACTGGGCACATATTTTAGTAACCTTCCAGTTCTGTCCCCGCTAAGAATTATTGCTACGTATACCCTTTATCATTGAGAGAAAAAAAATGAGTTCGGAAGATGAAGAGGACAACGGTCATTTAGTGTAATGCACTTGCAATGGTTTAATCCTTCTCTCACTTCTAATTAAAGAGAGAGCAAGGGTAATGTTGTTTCTATTTGTGCTTAATACACAAATGTTATTTCAATAGGGTATAGCTGCGGGCATAGTAGTATTAATTCAAAAAGTTGTTAACGTCTTTCTTTATAATTTTTTCAAATAACTATAAATAATAACATTCAATTAAAAACAATTTATAATATTTTTATATCTTTAATATAAAAAATATTATTTTTAAATCCTTAAACTTAATCATAGAGACCAAAATTAGTAAAATGTTGTTACACATAAAAAGTAATGAAATATTCTCAATTTAAGAATTGAGAGAGCTTACCTTCTTTGGAATAAGATGCTGCTATCAGTGAAATAAACTTCACCAGTTTTGGTATCAATGTCCAAAGCATTTGTAAACCTAAAAGGGACCCCATCTGCTGAAGTAGCTAACTGCCTTGCAACGCCGCCACCTAGTCCTACCACGAGAAGCCCAAAGTAGGCATCGGCAATGTAGAGCTCACAAGTTGCAGTGTTAAATTTTAGACCTAAGGGCCTTCCACACATTGATTCCATGCTTTTACTTGTTAACCCATCGCACAATTTCTTGTCCCTTCATAATCACATAAGGGAAGTTCACTCAATTTTTCTTTAAAAAGGATAAATAATATTTCTAAGTTAAATTATTTAATCCTTGGAGTTTCTTTGGATTTTTAAATAAGTTCTATATTTTAAGAATGCTTAACTAAGTTAAATTCTGATAATTATAAAAATTTGGGATTATTTCCTACTTGCTAACACCATTAAAGTTTCCTGAAAGTAAAATACCATAAAATTGAAATTGCAAATTACAATAGCTTCCATAATCCTCATTCTTTATTTTACATTAGATTTATCATGCGATTCTCCTTATATTTGGTTACAACTTCTTCTAATTCAACTCAAACTACGTTTTTCAATTAATTAAATAATGAGTTTTTCTTGCATTTTACAGGTATTACTCAATGAAAATATTTTTTAAAACAAAAAATTAGAGAAATATTTCATTATTATTTTTGAATTCAATAAATTTAAAAATAAGATACTATTATTAGTAATAAAAAATTCCATTACATTAATAGAACTGAATTAAATAAATGATATTTAAAAAAATAATAAAGAAATTTTTAAAAATTCAAAATTCATTTAAAAAATATTTAATTTTATTGAAGATTTAAATTAAATAAAAAATTATATTGAAACGAAACATAATTTAAAAAAAATTCTTTACTGCAGATAAAATTATTAATATAATAATGAAAAGAATAATATAATTTCTTAATATAAAATAATTTTTAAATAAATTTGATCTATTTGATGAAAAAGGTTGGGTTTGTGATTGTTGGTCTACGGCAATGAATGAAATGTGGTAAAGGTAACATTTTCTGGGGTTGTTATTGCCTGCTTTGTAGAAGATGATGATTGATGATAATGACGGTGGTGAGGCTTGTGTTAGCTTGGTTTGATGGTGCTTGGAGATGATGGTGGTCCTGAATGGTTGGTCGAAACATTGGCTGAGAATTATGGTGTTTGACAGAGGAATGATTGTGGTAGCTTGATGGTCATGGCTATGTTTGGTGGCTGTGATAGTGACTACATGAACATTGTGTGTGGTGCTGAATAGGTGCTTTGCCTGAGCTGACTCACTGTGTCAACTGTCAACATTGTTTTGAATTTAGTATTAGGCCAATCAAATGAAGGGAATCACACGCCATTGTTATGCATAATTGACACACTGTTTCAGAACACCACAACCAGTCACACTCCATGGACCATCTAGTTAACTGCTACTTGTTAAAATTAGTTAGATTCTTTCTTTAAATTTTATCAAGCTTTTACAATATTTCTTCTAAATTTTTCATTTCTTTTATGTTTCCATTCTTTTAACAACCCCTCCCAAATTCTGATAGGATAAAAAGTTGAAAGTTTTAAGTAGAAAATTAGCATAATTTATAAGTTAAAAGAATTAAATTTGCCTAAAAAAGCCAAATTAATTGGGAAATTTATTCATTTTCAATTGATAAAACAACTATATTATGAAACTTTTTCGGTCACATACTTGAACACTAATAAAATTTTATTAATTTTAATTTTAATAAAAATTTACATAAAAAATAAGTAATAATATTTTATAAAATATCTATGCTTAAAAATATTAATTTCGTAAACATAATACTCATTGAATTTAATAGCTAACTATTAATTAATACCTTAAATATAAAATAAAACAATATAAAATCCTAAAAATATTTTTTAAAATTAATTTTTTAAATATTTTCAATTTAATATAATATTTTAACTCATAATAATTTTTTAAATATATTTTCAAGGTGTATATTGAAGGAGACACAATGAAATCAATAAAAAGAAAATCTTTGTTAGAAATTGTAACATTCAAATAGTAGCACTGTATTGAATTTTGTGATGTCTTGTGAATTTATTTTAATAATTTCTAAAACAAATATTGAATAAAATATTATATATTATTTAATACGTAAAACATATATTTAATTATTTTTTGATAATTAAAAATTATACACCCAAAAAGAAATTTTTTGGAGCGCCCAGACAATAGGACCTTATTAAATATCAATACAGTAAGTTGTTTCTGTTCTTTTTCTTTCTTTCTAGGCACTCCAGTTTGAACGGGGAATGGGAAAAACAACGAGGCCCACCCGGCACTATGCCATTAATACGGTAGCAGAAATGATGACCAAACTCGTTGCCAACTAATAAATATGTTTCCATTAAGAAAAAGAATTATTGAGACCAAAAGTACATATTAAAAATTTATATGTAATATTTTTTATAAAAAGTTATAAAATTCATGTAAATTCAGTTTATTAATAATATTAAATATGATATTTTTAATAAAAAAGAAGATTTATTAATTTCTCATGCTATAACTTTTGATATAGGTTAAAAGAAAAAAATAAAGAACTAGTTTCGGTCACTATTTGTTAAGCTCGTAAATTACCATCGGTCTAAAAAAGGAAAGCACGACTATAAACAACAATGATATTTGCATATATAATATTTTGTTTTAACTTTATTATTTTTCATAATACATTATTTATTATGTTTCTAATTTTTCTTTTTATTTATTTCCTTTCTCTTTCACTTCATACACATACGAAAGTGTGTAACAATGGTTCTCCATTTACGCAGAGCATAAACGATTCAAAACCGGTCCACTGTCTCACACACAGACATATATAGACACAGGTTGACGTAGTCAACATGGCTGTTAATAAAGCCGACAATACGAGAGAAGAACAGAGTACTGGGCGTGCAACCATAAGAGGAATCTCAGTTGCATCGATAGCTCCATTATTTTTCTGGTACACACAGATAGCTTAAATGTTTATTTTATGGATATATTTTGTGCACATTTAACAGGATACCTTTCGATGTTTCTTCTACTTTTGAAATGTATTTTTTGTACGTGTTTGCAAAAAATAAAAAAATATGAAAGATAAAAATAAAAATACACAGTATTAAACATGCATATATATATATATATACTATTTTTTCCAGATATATTTTATATAATTTTTTTCCAATAAAGAGAGAGATAAAAAAGAGAAATCTCATAAATGTGAATGTAAAAAAGATGGATAATATGATGAACAAACAATGAAAAGAAAAAATATAATTTTAAATAACATTGTAACATGAGTTTAAATCAGAGTAGTCTCGTTTGAAATACTTCAAAATATTTGTTTTATTGGTGTTGAATATTTAAATGCATCAAATACTATTTAGAAACTATCATGATAAATACTCAAAATTAGAACTTTCTTTTAACTGCTGCGCCATATCTGATTTTCGTTTTCTGTGACTCTGTGTGTATGGGATATCGTGTTGTCGTATTTTACCATGTATTACATTCGATAACCACAAGATCTGTGCATAAAAGGTGGCACAGTTGATAAAGCTCTACATTATAAACAAATTACTAAATATATTGAATTCGAAAGAGAAGGAACGATACGAAAGGCTTTTAACACTTCAAGGTTATATTTGACAAGTGCAGAATTCTGAATTAACAAGTTTAAGAGCGTTTGAAAAAGTTTTTAAAAATAAATTATGATATAAAACACTTTTTAATTTATTTTAATAAATTTAATGATATATTTTATTAACATAAAAGTTTTAATTTATTACAATAAATTTTATAATTAAATTTATCTTATAAAACTTTATATATTAAATAAACTTAAATTACTTGTTGAAACATAGTAATATTTGCTAGTCCACTTAAATAAAAGATAAACACACGCGTGATTAATCCAACAAGTGATATAAAAACAAAGATATATATACATGTATATATATCCGATTTGGCTAACGAGATTGAGTATTGAAAGGGTTGGGGTTGGTGGAAACAGCAGTTGTGTTGAGTTATTATTGTGCACTACATACAGCATACACACAGTAGCTTTTCTTAACTTTTCTTTTTTTATATTAATTTTGTGCTTCCAAATATATCATCAAGATACTATATATGAATAACGCAAACCAAATTTCATACATGTGCAACTAAAGGCAAATATTTATAATATTACCTGCGTGGTGAGGTGACTGCAAAGTCAGTCCATTCTCTCTTTGTTTCTTGCCACTTGAGAATTCTACCATCAGATACGCCCACATAAGGTCCTTTGCCATGGCAATCGAAGGCTACACTTTCAGAACCAAAAACAGAGTGTGGGAGTTGAAGTTGGGAAAAAGATTTAAGACCATCTATTATGGAAACTGCTTCATAAGACAGAGCATAAGCCTGGTCGAATATAAAGAGAAAGATTAGGAGGGTAAGAGTTGAAAGCTTCATTGTAAATGCGATGAAAATTTTTGTTATTGGTGTACTTCGCATGAATGATTAAATGGATCCAGATCACAGTTCATACATGTATTATATAGTACCAAATAGTTATGTGAACTTCCTGGAACAATTATGTCTAGTCCTAATCAACATTAAATATGCAGTTGGTTGTCACAGTATTTCAGTATCACTTGACTTTGTCGTGTGTCCCAATGTCTTTTAAAATGATCCCACTTTACAGGATTCCATCTAACCCGGGAAACTCCATATTCAATTAATATTTGAATATTAAAAGTATTCTAAAACTTTGGCTTTCTCAAATTTTCGGCATCTTATTTTTAGTTCCTTCAACTCAATGTATATATGGATAACGTATTAAGTAACACAACAGCATAAAAAACATTAAAAATAATTCTGCATTTAGAGAGTGAATTCAAAACACTCTAAAAAATATTGCTATTCAAAGTAAATATATTTGAAGAGCATTCATAATTGCAGTGTGAATAAAAATTTAAAATTTGAAATTTCTTTTCTCCTGAAGATATATTATAAAATAAATTAATTTATTATTATATTTAAACTTAAATTTATATATTAAAAATTTTAAAAAAAATTCATTTGTAAGGTTTTTTTTATCATAAACAAAAATTAATTTTTTGTCTCATTGAAACTTGAGTTTATATATTATGTTAACTAAACAGTTCAAGTCTAAATGAACAAAATACTGATAAACAAAAAAAAATAAAAATAATATAAGGTTTAATTGTTAATAGAAAGAGAGAAAGAAAGAAAAAGAGAATGAAAAGAGATGTGTGAAAAAAGTAACTATGGAAAAGATAAACTTTATTAGCATAGAGAAGAGAAAAAAGAAGAGATTCATGAAGTTACTTTGAGTTGAGCGAAGCTCCATCTTACCCGAGTTTATAAGTTTGAAGTTACTAAGTCTTTTAATATTTTAATTTATGAGAGCGTTTGACATGTATCCGCTCTCCAAAAGCGATTTTGGAGTGTGGTTACTTACTAACTACTTTCCAAGTCACTTTTGAAGAGTGATTACATACTAACCGCTCTCTATCTTCAGAGAGTGGTTATATTATTTTGCTCAACAACTGACTGTTTTAGAAAATCTAAAATGATGTAATGTAAGAAATTTTTTTAGATGAGAGTTAGAAAATAAATATTGATTATTAAATCTCTTCACGAAGAGTCAAAAATCAAATCATATACATCAAATATATATCACATATGTGTCTTCAAATCATGCATATATCATCACACAATGTGTCAAATAAGAATTTTGATCATCATTCAAATCAACATAAACACAATCAAGTTTTCATGCCATGAATGTTGTAACATCCTCAAAATTTTAGTTAATTTCTAAACCTTAGCCTGTGACTGTGCGTTACTTCAGGTAAGGGGAATTTTTTTTTCTTCCTTCTTCTTCCTTCTTTTATATTCTCTTTTCAACCTATTATTTTGATATGTCCTTATATGTTAGAATGGATTTCAAGTTTTTGACATTTTGTTGTTTGATTTTTGTATCACTGAGGATTATTCTGTTTAATTTACTTGTTTTATATGTATGAACTTGCACTCAATATATTTTTCCTTCCATGTGTGCATGAGCTATTCTTCCCTTTTCTTTTATTACCTTTCGTCTACCTAGAGATGCAATATGTGGGGTGCGAAGACTAAAAGTCTATTTTGACCATCCTTGGCTATTGAACATTGTTTAAAGGGGTACAGTTGGCCTATAACTCTTCGCCTACCCTCTCGGCCTTTTTAATCACATATGCTGCTCTTTGATCTTTTGTATTGACACCTTTTAGAGTTCTCTATAGCGTGAGGAGAAAAATTGTTAGTCATAAATTATTCGTACCTTTCCCACGTGTCCTTTCAACTACCCTTCTTAAGACTCCACTCATTCTCTTACTTTTTTAAATGCCACGTTGGTTTTCAAAAAAGGGAATTAACTCTCCCTTATGTCTAGTTATTATGCTAGTCGGATTCTTTAACTACCCGTAATTAAAGGGGCTAATAATTAGTTGGCATCTTATTAATGTGCATTAGAGACCACTAAGAGGCACATTAATTTCCTTTCTTAAATTCCATTAAACCATGCATTTAAACCTTCGCACGTGAAACTAAGAGGTCAGTGGAAGTTGTAGACAACCCTTAGTGTCCAACCAGTCATTTAATAAGCATTAAGGCCTTTCTCGTTATTTCACGTCATATCTAGTTGGCTGTGCAAACATTAAGTGTAGTAGCTTTGGAAAATGAAAAGACATTAGCAGGGAGAGAGAAGATTGGACTTGACGCATCATAAATACATTGTTGTCTCATTAATACAAACTTCATTAATTGCATTTATTAATTTCTTTTGTGGGTGCTATGCATGTGTATCCTTTATCTACCTTTGGGACTCTTGAGATTCCTTGCCTCTAAATATTCCACTAGACATTGCCATTAGAACTCATTTATTCCTTCATTAATGTGGCTCGAGACACCTTGACACTAGTCACTAAGAATGTTTAATGACCCACTAACTCGAGTTATGATGAGAGAGGAGAGAGAAACTCGTGAATAGAATCTCCATTAAGCACTATTATTCTCATTTAATGTCATTTTAATGGCACCCTTTCATCTCCATGCCATTACTCTAGGAGGGAGAGACAAGTGTGTGATGGCTTTGGGAATATAAAGAGACACTTGAGTTAGGAAGAGAGAGAAAGTGGAAGACATAGAACCTCAGTGGGTTTTTAATGCTAGTCGCCCTTATTAATTGCACATTTTTCTTGACCAATCAAAATGCATGCATGCTTGACCCTTAGAACACGCTTCTCTCAACTCCTTCATCTTCGAAATATGATCACACACGTCAGAATTCCAAGAGACAAGACCGTAATTCACTTCCTTCATCCTAGGTACCGTATTAATGACTTTTAATCACCTCCAAAAAGAAGGCATCTTCATTAAGTGGTTGTTTTACTTCTACATGGTCCCTGCCTTTCCAAAGTACACTAGGCGTCATCTTTTCATCTCCCTATACACCATTACCCTCTAAATAATACCCTTACATGCTTTGTTCATTATCTCATTAAAACCTTTACTCATTATTGCTCTTATCTACTACATTAAATTTTGAGGTGTAACACCTTAAATTTAATTTCAATAAAACAATGATTTCGCAAATTCGAATAACCAAATTTTCATAAGATATTTTGAAATAAGAGAAGGGTTACAAATTAATATCAAATAACTGCTATAGGACTAGTTCAATTACAACATTTTCAAAATAAAATCTAAGTTCTATGGCAGTCCATCCATCCCTTCATTGAGTCCAGTGCTGATCGTCTTGATTACCTGAAAAATGAATGTAAGGGTGAGTACTCCTACACTACTCAATACACAACTATCATAGAGTCTCACCTTGCCTATATTTCACGCAAAGTACATATAAACAACTTTTTCATTTCAATTTGTCACCGATGCACTCATGGCACCAAACAATCATATATATATGAAATTAACAAATAATAGTCCCGTGCACTCACTGCACGCCAGCTACACTCACTGTGGTACTGTGATAACAGATTTTACTATGGATGGTCACCGGTTACCCCCACCTCACGGATACCACATGGGCAGTCACGGGTCGCTCAGTAAAAGTAGTGGTCAGAGGTCTAGTCAGGAAGAGAGTGTGTGGCCTGTGGTGCACCCATTCTGTAACGCCCCGATTAACGTAAAATAGCTAGCAACTCTTAAATTGTAATTGCTTGCTAATTCCGGCTTGCTAGTATCAGAATAATTAGATAGATGCTGATTTTTATTTTTATAGAATATTTATTGATTTCTGAGTTTGACATTTAGAGTAACTGCATGCAATATATTTGGTTTCAATATCGTCCAAGAATTTCTCTAATTATGTTCAACTGTACTATCTAAAATACCCCTGATAGTCTTATCCGAAAAGTCAATTTTTATGTTATTCAAATAATTGTCAAATCAAAATTATCTGCCTCGAAAAATGTGAGATTTAGTAATCATTGTATTATATTTTCAATCATTTCTTAACCGTCAAAATTATTGCACGAAATCTAGTAATCATTACTTCGAAGATTTCCAAATCTAGTATCGGTCACTAGATTTTCATGCAACGAGACCTTGTCCACCAATTTGCAAACATCGTGATTACCCGAATCTTCTGAAATCTAGTATCGGCCACTAAAATTTCATGCATGAGATTTTGTCTCTCGATTTGCAAGCATAATTATTTTGGAACATTCTTTCTTGTCTTCCAAAATGCCAACACCATGATTGCTTTAATCAATTACCTTTTCTTGAATTTAGCACCACATCAAATGTCTCGTCCACATGTCAACCTAGTCATGTCACATTCTTTTCTGGCCAATCAAAATTCATGCATTTGCTGTCCAAAAATCTAAACCTTGGAATTTTGTGCTGATTTTTGGGAATTGCCCCACCAAAATCGTGTGCATGCAGCCCTAAACTATTCCATGCATTTTGCTGGCCAAAATGTACTAACTTTGCTTGCAAGTTTCCCTAAATATTCATTATTCCTACACTAAAAACTGTGACGCCCCTCCTTATCCAATTTTTCACCAAATTCACTTCAATTTTACACCAATTAAGCCTTGTGCAATTTTTGAACTTTGGAACCTTGTCTAGCAAGCCAAAACCGTAAGTGTCAAGTTGCAATTGGCAAATTAACACATTGACCTTCATATAAATTGAATTCCTTTTTCTATTTGCCATTTTGGAAGCCAAAAATCGTGACCTCATTTCTCATTCTCTCTCACTTTGCTTCATCATTTCTCATTCTCTCAAAGTCTCACACTCTCTCAAACTCTCTCAAGAAAACTGAGAAGCTCCAGCCCCACAAAGATCACAAATCCTTCATCCAAACCACCCCAACACTTCACCTCTACATCACCAACATCTTTCTCCACCTTTCCTCCAATTTTCATGTGGAAGGAGCTCACTTTGGAGGAGGAACTTGAAGATAACTGTTGTTGTTTTCTTGGTCCAGCAAGTGTCCCTTGG